ATATATATATATTAATTTGAAGATTGTTGTGCAGATTAGGTATTCGCATGCACTTAATGCGGACTAAGATATTGAAAGGGTGATGACGAAACTGCGATTTATTGAAACAGATTACATTGAACTGTAAATAGTTTAAACGTAAGGGGGGTATTATATATCATTATATTATTAGTATTTGTCCCTTGGGTTCCTAATGGAACATAGGGCTTCAGTAGCACATCTCCAGTGAACTCCGTTCTCTGAAATCTCTCGAACCTGGCTACACGACAGCCCACAAAATCTCATTCCCTCCCCACACGATCTCCTCCATGTCACCCTCGGACGTCCAACTCGTCGCTTCCCATGGGGATTCCACTCGAGCACCTGGCCTGACGCGTGATGTCCCCAGTCGGCCTTCTCAGTGGATGCTCAATCCAATCCATCTCCACTTCCTTCCACTGCATATTTGTTCAGCGATAGCTTCTTGGTTTCTTCGTTCCCAGCCAGAGTTCCTTGTCGCTTATTCTTTCCGGTAATCCACCTGATCTTCAGTAACGAGCCAGCATAAGCAGTTGTTGATGAATGTCTATACTTTGTTGAAAATCCCTTTCGTGACGCGCCAAGTCTCTGAACCATACAGGAGCACTGACTTGACTGGGTTGGTGTTGAAAATTCACATCTTGTTCCACATGCTGAGTGCAGAAGATCTTCACACTGGTTCCAGGCTAATTAACGCCTGTCTTGCTGTCTTTCTCACCCTGGCTGCTTTGACGTCCTCGTGTGTGCCACCACCTGTATTTGAAACAGTGCTGCCTAGGCAGATAGGTGAAGGAGCCTACTTCATTTGAGTTTCTCCCGTTCATGGTGATTGGAGCTTGTTGTTGTTGGTGGTGTTGTTGCTGGTTGGGCATCTTCATCACCTCTGTCTTCCCTACATTCACCTGAGGGAAGTTCCGTCTTCGCTGCCTCTTCTGACAACTTGTTACTTTTCGCCTGTAGATCTTCAAGTTTGTGTGACATCAGACACAAGTCATAGTTGGCGAAATCCAAATCTTCTAGGTTCTTCTCCACGGTCCAGCCACTGTATCCCCCTCTTCTCGCTCCCCACTGTTTGCTGCATGATCCAGTCTAGTCGACCACAATCAGGAATATCATGGGTGATAGTAGGCAACCCTGTTTCACTTCTGTCTTCACTTCACTTCAAAGGCATCACCGAGCTTTCTATTTTGAATTACTTGGCATGTGTCTTCTTCATATAGTTGTTGAATGAGGCTGATAAGGGTTTGCGTTATACCGTAGTATTGAAGCAGTTTCCAAATTACCTCTCGTTCGACGCTGTCAAAGGCCTTCTCAAAGTCGATGAAGTTGAGGTTGAGGTGAGTTGACTGCCATTTTATACGCTGTTCTATGATGATCCTTTGCGAAGCGTTGCAATTTGGTCTGCACATGATTTGTACTTCCTGAATCCAGCCTGCCTGTTCCGGTCGTAGTTTTGAATCCAGTTCATTCTTTAGCCTCTCCAGGATGATGAGGCTTGATATTTTGCTTGCCTTGGGTGGACAGGGGAGTGATTCCACGCCAGTTCTTGAAAACACTGAGGTCTCCCTTCTTTGGCAGTTTGACAAGGTAACCCTTCTTCCAATCAATCGGCAGGTACATTCCCTTTCTTCCACACCTTCTGTAATAGTGGTATGAGCATGTCCGCTGTTTTCAGTGTTTCTGGCGGTATTCCATCTGGTCCTGCTGCTTTCCCGCATTTCAGTAGCTTTATGGCGTTCAGGACTTCCATTTTTGTTGGGGGATTTATGTTCACTTGTAGTTCAGTGGCTGTGCTGCAGGTGGTATTTCTGGACGAAGTGCAGGTGGTGGTGATGGTGGATTCAAGAGCTTCTTGAAGTAGTCAGCCTATCGTTTCCTTTCTTTCTCTTCTTTGGTGATTAAATTTCCGTCATCATCTTTCATTAGTTTCATCTGTGTTTATCTCTTTCTTTACAGATAGTATCCTGGTTATTTGATACAATGTTGTCAGATCTCTGTCTCTCCTACCTGCAGCCTGTTATGCTTCACTTGCCAGTGTTTCGTAGAAGTGTCTTTTGTCTTTCCGTGCACTCTTCTTCACTTCTTTGTCCAGTGTTTTATACATTGTGCTCAGTTCCTCTTGTCGTCGAGCATCCTTGCACTGGTTTATCTTCTGCTTCACCATCCTCCTCTCGTCTATCAGCTTCCAGGTATCCGTCGAGATCCATTCCATATCTTCTTTCTTCTTCCTTCCTAATACTGTTGTGCAGGTTTCTTTCCACATAGCTTTCAAAGACTTCCAGTGTTCTTCCACACAGGTTTCTTCAGGGATGTCCCTCGATGTCTCCCATTTTGTCTTGATGGCTGCCTTGAAGATCTCCTTTGTAGTTTCATCCTTCAGTTTCCGAGTGTTGTACTTGAATTGAGGTCTATCACCAGCTTCCTTGAAGGCTTTTAACTTGATTTGGAAGGTTCCTTGCACTAGACAGTGAGTGGTCTGAACCTACATCTGCTCCTCTTCTTGACCTTGTGTTAAGTAGACTGTGTCTCCATTTTCTTGAGATTGAGATAAGTCGATTTGATTTTTAGTGTGTCTGGTGTCTGGTGAAATCCATGTCGCTTTGTGGATATCTTTGTGCCTGAACACACTGCCTCCAATCACCAAATCGTTGAATGCATAGAATTCTGCAAACAATTCTCCATTCTCGTTCATTTCACTCAGCGCTTCCCGATTCCTGGTTCGTTCTCTTCCTGTGTTGTCCCCTTCCAGTTTGGCATTCATGTCGCCCATTAGAATTTTGATGTCGCCAACTGAGGTGGTGTCTTGTCCAGTGTTGATTGAAGTTGTCTGTAGAATTCCTCCTTCTTCTTTTCCTGATCTGCATTATTACGAGTTGTCTAAATATTTAGCGATGGTGTTAGGCCCAACAAGAAATCACTCAAAGCCTTGACTTACCAACTCCTATGACTTAAAGCATAGATTAGAACGACATACACTTAAACGACAGTGAAGAAATGGTTAGTTTTGACATAATCAAACTTAACACAAATATACCGGTTGACATGGCTCTAGAGGCAATTAGAAATGGACTTAAAGATGATAAAGAACTTAAGCATCGAAGGAAGCTGCCGATCGAGGAAATCAGACTAGGAGTACGACTGTGTCTAACATCTACATTTTTTAAGTTTCAAAACAAAACATATTAATGAGCTGAAGGTGTTGCTATGGAATCACTAATATCCCTTATCGTCGCAGACATATTTGTCGAAAGTTGGGAACAGGTAGCCCTTCAAACATTTAGTCCTACTCCAAAGATATGGTTCCGATAAGCAGGCGATACTTTTACAGTACTGAAATCGGAACACGTCAATAGGTTCTTGGCACATATAAGTTCAGTAGTGAATGCAGTACAATTTACCTGTGACTTAGAAAGTGATGAAGGTGAGCCAGCAGTGTTGTATTGCAAGATTAAACGAACACAAGAAGGAAATCTAGAGACTAGTATCTATAGGAAACCTACCCTTTCTAATCCTCTCACCAGATTTCAGTTAAAGTAGGCCTAGTTAAATGCTTAAGTGATAGAGCGAATAAGCTTACTAGTAGATCGGAAAATCTGCGACAGGAAATTAGAAACATCAAGAATACCCTACGTCTCAATAATTACCCACCAAATTTTATAAATAAATCCATAAGAAATCGAAAGAAAAATATTAGCAGTGTTAGTAGTAGTAGTAGTAGTAATAAAGATGTTATTAATAATAATCCCACTACTAGTAGTAATAATGGCGACAGGGTTAAGAGAGAATTCAAAGCCTCTGCTGTGTTACCATACAAGGAAGGCACCTCAGAAGCACTACGAAGAATTCTCAACAAGGCTGGGAATAAAGTGGCATTCAAACCAACAAACCCACTTAGAAACAAGCTTTGTAGGTTAAAACATCCTATCGATGCAATTAAGCAAATTAATCTGGTCTACCAGATTCCTTGCAATGATTGCGAGGTCAAGTACATAGGTCAAAGCAGTCGACCAGGGTCGATAGAATAACAGAGCACAAAAACTTAGCTAAATCAAGATCAGTAGATCCTAATAAGATAAGCAATCTAGAGAAAAACTCGGCTATAGTTCCGCATGCGATGACACACAACTACACAGTAGGGTGGGTTAGGGTGACAGTGTTGAAAACTAACTTAGTTGTATGGAGAGACGGAGAGATTGATAACCGAATCTTTGTTTATCGAATCAACACCGAACACATGCAAACGAAATGATGCTGCACATGTCCCAGATATATGGAAAATTCTACTACCCTTGTCATCACAGAGAAGGAGAGAAAACTAGGAATATATAAGGACTGTCTTGAAGTTGTGGAGTTACCTGATATGAATATGGACAATAAATATCGTCCAAAACGTTATCCACCAGATGATACCATTTCACTGTGTGATATTTCTAATAAACAGACTAAAATGTAATTACACTCGACCACAGTGCCCAAGTTTTACTCTTATATTAATAAAAGTGAGTAAATTTTCTTGAATGTTCTGTACATTCTGATTTGTTTGTGTTTAATACCCAAATTCTTTTTCAGGAGCGAGTTAAATGAAAGTACCACGGTTTTCTAAGAATTTTATATATAGTTTGAAATTTTTAAAAAATTATGTTGCACTTCGAATTGGCCATTTGAGCTTCAGCCAATCATCTTGTGGTCGTCTCCTGATTGGCTGAAGTTTCTTTCACCTTGATGAAAAGTAATTATACGCTTCATTTGGCAATTTCATTTATTATATTTAACATGTTATCAGAATTAGGAAGCATTTTATGCAAGAAATACTGTAAATAAATACAATTTCATATTTCATGTTTAATGTAAATAATAACAGTCATATTTTCAGCTTTCATATATTCATTTTGCAGTGTACTGGATATATTTTAAACAGTGCGTCGTTTTTTTTATTTTTAACAATCTTATTGTTCAAGTTTGGTATAATATGCTGTTTTACTATGGGTGTACCAGTTGAAAAAGGATTCAACATTCCAAAATATGTTCGAATTAAACTTAAAGAAGAATTACCTCCAGGAACTCTTGTGTTAAATATTAGAGGATTTTTAAACTCTGGTTCTGTGACTCTGTATTATACTGATGAGATTAATAACCCTAGTCAAAAAGAAAGAATGTCCATTATTGTGTCAAGTTTAAATTTAGTCTCTGAAGTTGCAGTTGTAAATCGTTTATTTCGATTAAACAAGGAAGCACAAAGTATAGTGACAAATGTGGTTATTGATAGAGATACATTATGCAGTAAAGATCAGTTGTGTTGTCGAAATCCAACAGTAAAAATCGATAATGGATTCCTTGATAGCCCTATGCGACTACCAATTTCAAATTCTGTTCAACTGTATAAACCTTATCAAAGTAAAACAGCCGATTTATGTTTAATTCAATTTCGAGTAATTTTTTCTATATATCATGAACATGCTAATGGTAATGGTGAAGATGATGCTGAAAAGAATCAGATTAAAGGAAGTAGGGAAGAAATGGCTTATATTACAGTAGAAGTTGAACTACTAGACATTAATGACAACTCACCTCAATTTATTCTGCCTACACCGGTTTACACAGATCATATGCCAAAAACGGTTACACTTTTGCATAATCCTGTGCCTGTAATAGAAATATCTATTGAAGAATCAATTAGCCTGAATTCTTGTATAAACTTGCCTAAAGCATTTGATCCAGATTCAGAGAAGTATGATGTAACTGAATATCGATTGGATTCATTATCTCCATCAGACATTTTAACATTGAAGCATAAACTTTCTTATTCAAACCTCAATAATGTAAATAAATACGAATTGCCTTTTTCTTTAGAACAAAAGGCTTGTACAAACTCATTACTACTATCTTACAATGAGGTAAGCATTAATACTCCTCTGCAGGACACAGATGAAACATTTGAACTCCAGTCAAGTATTGAACAGTTAACCCCATCTTTAAAAGTAGTAAACTATCTTGATCGTGAAGTAACTGAGTATTTTTGGATTAAATTATTAGCAGTTGATGGCACTAAATACTTGTATTCTGATGCTTCGAATCACCAGGATATCACTGGAAATACATCAAATAGATATTCAGTGCAAATTCCTCAACACACAGGCACTGTATTAATACGTATTCGTATTTTAGATGTTAATGATAATACTCCAGTTGTACCGAGAACACTAAATCTTGACATTTCAGAGGATGCCAAGGTAGGCACAACGCTGGGGCGAATAAACGGCTCAGATCCTGATTTCGGTGATAATGGCAGGTTGTATTATCGTCTGATGATTGATCCAACCATTGTGTCTAACTTTCCATTCGCCGTTGATTCACAGACAGGTACTATCACGGTAAATCGTCCATTAGATGCCGATCGATTACCAGCATCAAATAAGCACATACGTTTCAAAATACTAACTAGTGATTTCGGTAAACCAATATCGCATTCAGCCTACACAATCATTGATGTACGCGTCAATGACATAAATGACGAAACGCCACAGATTAAGGTAGTTGATTTAGAAAGTCATAGCAACCCACCTTACCCTACAGTATTAGAAAACAGACCACCTGGTCAACTAGTAGCATTTGTCACCGCTACGGATGCTGATTCAGGCCTCAATGGCGCTCTTTCATGTCGTATAGATAATCCTAAATTTAAACTTGAACAAATAGTTATTTCAAAATCCGACCCAAATGGCCATACACACAATAAAATAAATTCGTATAACTTTGAACCAATGAATATTCAGCCACTGAAAGATCCTCCCAATACTTTAGATTTCAAAGTGATTACCTCCGTGGAACTTGATCGTGAGATGAATGCATTGGAGGCTATTGAAATTATGTGCACAGACCAACCACTAAATAGTGCAACAGTGAGAACTGGTAGTATACAATTTTTCGTAACAGTGTTGGATGAAAATGACAATTCGCCTACATTTAATACAAACAAATTTAAATTAGATATCATGGAAAATACTCCATCAGATGAAGTCATATTTGTTTTCAATGCTACAGATTTAGACTACCAAAATTATCCAAATGGTGGCAGTACACATCGAATAAATCAACCTAATTTTCATCCCTATATAAAGCAGCAGAATATGCGAATCGCTCAACTAACTGAAAGGATTAAATACTTCATTGATTCGCGTGGTGAACAATATTTTCGTATAGACACTGATACCGGTATTTTATATAGTAGAGTTAAAATTGATCGGAGGGTATTGCAGAAATTGAGTTCAATGTAACAGCCAACGACAATGGTCGTCCGCCGAAAAATTCAACAGCAGAAGTAATAATCAACATTATAGATCAAAATGATCATGCTCCACAGTTCGAGAAACCAATATTTTATTTTAATTTATCTGAAGATTTACCTATCAATTCCATTGTTGCTACACTTGTTGCACATGATGATGATGTTGGAAAAAATGCAGAGATAACATATAAATTAGATGATTTACATGTAAGTTTGCTTTATTTATTCAAGGTGTTTAATTTTGCTACCTATTTTGTTCTTAAATGTTAAGCAGCTAGAAAAACGCTGGTTAAACTCTAGTTCACTTAAATAAAGCACTTCAATAGTCAAAAACAAAAGAAATAATTAAAAAATTTCATGAATAATTTCTACTTTACTGTTTATTTGTGAGTACAAGATACTAATCACTCGTGCTACGTAAGCTTCTTCATTATATCGTATAATCTACGAATTACTGGTTGCCACTTACTGGAAACTGATGCAAATTATTGTAACTGGGCTTAAGCTTGAATAATGCTTATTTATTTCCTAATTTTTGTTCAAATGTGGTAGATATCAAGCGGGATTCATTAAACCACTAAATTTTCATAAAAATTGCTGCATTAGTACTATTTAGTTTATGTACTACGGCTGCCTTCAGTATTTCGTGTTGTCTTTGGTCTAGCTTATTTCAGATATCTGCCCACTTAGAAAACTTTGATTACTTTTATTCAATATAGGAAAATTTCCATATCATTCTGACGGCAAATAACAGTAGTATTAGAGTGTAAAATTTCAATAATTATAATTGGTTGCTACGAAACCAGGATTCGCAAACTACCCAGTTAACTTCAGACAGTCACTGTGAAAGTTCAGCCTTGTTTATCATCTACGATAGAAATAAAACTAAGGAAATTTAGTGGAAGCTGTTACCCATTACTTATTAAGTATCTATATTGCCAGTATTTTACATAGTTATTAGGATATTTATAAGATGTCTATTAAATTCAGTGTTATCGTACAGATCACAAAACTGTGTCTTTGACTGTCAACACAATTCAGACAGTTCTGATTCACATACATTACAGAAGCTGACAAACTAAATCCACTTATCTAGTGGGTTTTTTTCAGGAAAATGAAAACAGTTAAAAAGTATTGTTTTATGGGTAATTTATTGTTCGTAGTCATATCAAAGGTAACTCCACAACTTTAACATCATTTCTACATATCCATTTCTTTTTCCTCCTTCCTAGTACTGGTGGTAGAGTTTTCCATTCATCAGAAATAAATAATGGGCCGATTCTGTTGCATGGGCTTGATGTTCATTTCATAAGCAAACTTTGAACCATTAGCTTCTTCTCCCTTTATCCAATTGGTTTTCAATAATATCTCCTTTTGCTATTCTATAGAGTGATTACATACAATTTCATGTTTTGCTATAGCTAAGCATTTTTTGAATTCATAACTTAGTAGGGTCTACTATTATAGACTTGGCTTTGATGCTGTGCACTGCTAAAGTGATTCAACCCCGTCAACTAATGTGTCTGACTTCACAATAGATACATGGAATTTGGTAACGTAAATTATTTTGTACCAGAAGTTTAACGAGATGAACCAGCCGACAAAGCTTATTTCCTACAAAATAAGTAGGTTTAAATACCATCTCGATTGAGATCCTGTTGAGAATCATATGTAAGTTTTGTAGAATTCTCTTATTTCGCAATAACATTATCAAAATTTGGGATTCCAGCTCTCTAGTTTTGGCATCATCATCATGCATGTTATATGGTTCCTTGTTAGTCATCTTTTTCTTACAATTTCTTATGCAATTCTAGACTAAATTATGAGAATAACTACTAAGTTAGGAAGGTATTTTACATTTTAATTTTTTAACACAGGTTTTCCCACTTATCAGTTGGAGATTTCACTCTCTACTTTCAACATTTCATGAAACCTATTTTAGTCTACACGAGACGACTTCAAATATAAGCATAATTTTTAATGTTTATTTTTTCTGCAGGCACTAGTGTCTAAGCATCTCTTTTATCTCTTTTTGTTCTGAAGCCCATTGTTTCCAGTTTTCTAATATCACATTTAAAGTGGACCACATCGACAACTATCATTTTATGTGTGAAAATATCCATCTATGAACCCTGACTGTGATATTCTCAATGTATCAATTGCATAAATACACCATATTTCCGGAGTAGAACTATATGTTAAAAGAGATGTTTAGAGTCCTATTATTCTAGGGTTTTTCCGACTGTTGCTTTTAAAGGATCATGTTGCCTCTTGTGAAGGGTTGCCTGCCTTTAAATTATGGGATGAACAGCTAACTTAAAGGTGCATTTTGCAGCATATAGAACTACCCGGAAGTAGAGATTTCTTCAGGTAGTGTTTTTTGAAAATCACTTAACATGAAAATGGTACTAAACAGATCCTTTCAACTCGAAGAACTCTAAAGACGTTGCCTTTCTGTGAAACACCAAAGTTTCTATAACATAGAAACAACTTATGTGTACAGTGTAATGCTCAGCCTAACTACTTAGTATAAACACTGTTAACTACTTATTCGATACTGAAATACTACCCATATCATGAACGTATAAGCAATGCAGTTACATCGCAATTTTAAAGTAAACTAATGAGATTTCTAACTTCATCAAGTCTGAACTACAACTACATTTCAAAGTTCATTTTCTAACTAGATGTTGCAATTTCCGTCTCATTACACGAACCAAGGCCATGTGTGTTTCACTAGCTTTAAAATCAAATGGTTTAGAGATACTTCCAAAGATAATACGACGATTAAAACAAATATCTCAAACCGAATTGAATAACGTCTTCAATTTGTATTTAGAAATGCAGGGACCAGTCTTACTATCCTTTTTTGTGTGAAGATTTTCCATATCCACGAGTCATTTTTAGTTGCTATACAGTCGTAATTATAGCAACCACAAACAAGAAAGTATACTACTCAAAAGAAAGGCAACAATGGATCATCAAAGCGGATTTTTATAGGAGGAAATAATTAATGATTTCTTCAGCCGCAAACAGAACGCGTAGTAATAAGATGTAGAGGAAAAATGATGATGACCGATAGGTGGAAAAAAATAGTAACATCTATAATAGATTAAAGAAATGACATCTGACGAGAATTTTAATGCAAAATCGGAACATACAGGTATGGAGGGAGAGACGTAACTTGTAACGCAAAAACAGTAACTGTAATCATGAGGCAACTTCAGCATCTCGAGCAGTGAAGTAATGCAGAACTTCAGCGGAAGATTATGACTACGGCTAAAAACGGACTGGCCGTACCTCGTTTTTAAGCGTAGCCCGTGGTTTATTCTTGGACACAAGCATCCCTTATCCAAAAGTCATGAATTGCAATCCTATTGCGCCTTTCGTTTGACTATGTAAATGAGTTTGGATGGAGACTATAAGGAAGCGATATGATTGGAATCGCTCAAATGGTGGAAGATGCAGCTGTTGTCTAATCTGAGTTTTCTTCTGAACATTCAAGCAGGATATTGATCGGAGATGTAGTTGATAAGATTGCACTTTATGTGACCTACATAAACAGTTCCATAATAGAAGGTAAAATGATAGACAAAAATGGATGTGGCTCAAAGCAGCACGAAGCTGAATCATCATCAGCTGGAGATGACTATTAGCAGTTCAGCAACTTAGCATATCTTTGGAGTTGCTTCGGAAAGGTGACTGGATGCTATTTGTGCTGCTTTTTCATCCTTGACTTTTATATTCGTGAAAAAGATGAGTTTAGGAATATCAGTAACTGGTTATAACTGTTGTTTTTATTTCACGTTTTTTGCCAAGAATCTTGAATTTTAACCATTTTTAAGGAGTACTCTTCAAAAGTGCAGATGGATTAGGGACACACTAAGAAGACTATTAGGGGAATTCATGTGCTAGGCCCTAAGTGGAATCCAAAAGGGGAATGACGAATTGGGTTTCCGAGGGTGACACGAATGAGATCGTGTAACGAAGAAATGGAGGCTTCTGGGTAGTCGTAGAGCCAGGTTAAAAATACTGCAGAGAAGAGAGTGAACTGTCGATATGCTACGTAAGCCGTAGGTTTCACTAGGAACCCAAGGGAAGAAAAATACCCTTCAGAAGTGCTGCATTTCTTCATCTTTTTAGTTAGCTGTGCAATTTCTACTGATGGTCAGGTAATGTATATGCGTTAAGTTCTTTTTCTGTTCAATGTTCCCCAGCTTTGGAAATGATTATATCGCCCATCTCAATTTAGTCCAATGTATTTTGACGTTTTAAGCGAGTTATCAAGTCTTCTCCTCAACGGAATACGAAGAGAGTGAGATTCTCAGCTGTTCTGCACTTTCATCGAGAAACTGATCGAAAAATAATACTCACTGAATCTAAGATAATTGGAAGAACGGTCAACTTTTTTATCGCACACGATGAAATTATCATTCATTTATCCTCTAAGTAGATGACAATGATCGATAGCTGGGTGTTGTATGTTTATTTACCGATTTTGCCGTGAAACAAACTCCTACAAGAGAACCCATTAGTGATCCTAGTGTCGATAAACTCAGTGTAAAATTCGTAATTTTCACTTAAATTCAATGTTAAAAGTAAACGGTTAGAATAAAAAATTTTAACACGGACTGTTGAACTGTTAATTTTGAAGTAGTCACAAATGAAATAAATGTTCTTTGTTAGTAGAAAACTTGTAAAGGCTGGCGTAAAGTTCAAAGTGAGTATTCATTTTCCATCCAAAATCAAATGAATCAATCTAATAAAAGGTTTACCTATTTGTTATTACTATAAAATAATTTGTACATGTAATGAAAATAACTGATAGAAAAAAACGTTCTTCAATGAATTACTTTGTGCTAATTTGAATCTCTTCATAAGGTTTTATCCTCATATTCTCTTCCGTTAATTTCTCCTAGCTGTTGAAATATGGATTTAAAGTTAGTGACGTATAGTCAAGTTATGAAAAGCTATTTAATAGCACAATTTAACGTAAGCAGTGATAGCGACAATGATCTTTCTAAGCAAGACAAGTTTTGTGCCTGGTAAAGTTTGATAATGCAGATATGTATAGCGTTAGAAGTTGTACCAAAGATGCTGCAACGTTTATTTCTACTCATTAGAAGTTACAAACATCATTGTATGGATTATACTCTTTCATTAGCCATTTTGGTTCCAGGTTGTTTCGACAGGAACGTTGAACAATA